CAACAGTAGGAAAAATTGTTATAAATACATATTATTAATAACAGTTATGAGATCATATAATTGTGAATGTATATATGAAATTGATAAAAAAGAAATAAATAAATACCAAAAAAAAGACTTGTTTGGTGCTGCACCAGTTAAGATTCTGCAAGTGTAACAAAAATATTTTTTTCCCCCTGATAACTGTTCTTGATGCAAAATGGAAGTCATCCTTGAAAACAACAAAACGCACTCGCTACAAGAACAGTGGTGCTATTCTCTTGTAGTTCAAAAGAAAAAGCCAAACATCTCTGTACCATCCCCTCAAGGTTTTTAGGGGAACATGAATGCTTTGAACTTAGCCACAGGTTCCTAAATGCTTGCATCTTCCACTGGCAGGGGAGGAGATAACTGTAGGAAAGTTTTATGCCACATTCCTGATTCAAGATTATTTCCGTAAATTCCGTAAGCGGAAAGAAAAGGGACTGCTTGGACCAGATGGATCCCCAAGCAAATCCTCCGCCTTGCAGGTAACCCTACCACTTTTAAGACGGATCCCTTAAATCAGGGGTCTCCAACCTTGGCAACTTTAAGACTTGTGGACTTCAACTCCCAGAGTTCCTCAGCCAGCTTTGCCAAGATTAGAAACCCCTCCCTTAAATGGTCAGATGAGACCCTGAAACACAGATAGTTGATCTTTTTGTTTTGGGACCTCCCCCCATTAAGGCTGGACTGAGCTGCTTACAAGATCTAGGGCCTGAGATCCGCAGAGCAATGTCCTGTGACCTGGAAGGAAAAGAGGAGGAGAAAGAGGAGGAGGAAGAAGTTGAGGAGAAAATCATTGAGGAAGAGACAGCCATTTACAAGGTAAAGCCTTTGTTCCAGTCGGATTTAAGGAAGCAAATTTGTAAGTTGTGAAAAGGTTAGAAGGTTGAAAGCACTTTATTGATTTTTCTTCTGATGAAAGAAATGTCCTTCTGGGTTTCGTCTCTAAGTGGGGAAAAAGACACTGGAGACATGGAGGCTGCTTGGAAAGATGGTTTATTGGTGGACAGGACCACATGGCTTCTGAGAACTCAACCAAACCTGGATTCAAAACGCAGCCTAGAGAGTTGCCCCTGCATGGCCCCATGGGAGT